ACCGCAAATTCTTTAACGTCAAAATTTTGTTTTCAAAACTGTCTGACGTATAAAACTTTTACGGACAGAAATGTAGTAAACTTTTTACCCGTAATTGACTTTGAATTTTGATCATCCGTAAACGTCAAAAAAAAAATTTTGTTTTAGATTTAAAATAATTTTATACTTACATATTAAAAATTAACAAAAAAAATATTTTTATATTATTTTTAACGTAATGATAGTCACTCAATACATCAAATTTATTTACTGAACTACTACGTCAGACTGTTTGCATGTAAAAAAAAAATCTACAATTTTGACGCTTAATTGACTTTTTTTAAAAGTTTAAGAATTTAAACTTTGACTGAAAGTAAAAACGCAGTAAGTTAAATTCTTAGTTTATAAAATGAGATCTCATTTACATTTTTTAAATACGTCTCATAAAGAGAAATATTATATTGTAAAAATATTGATTTTGTCCACTAAAATATACTCTACAAAAAAAAACAGCTTTACATTCACTAGATCAAATAACGAAAAAGGAGAAATCGACTTATACTTCTTAATACCAAAAAATATTTCTTATACATTTTAACTTCTACAACAAAATTTATAAACGAATTAAAACGATGCTGCAAAACAGAACTCTTTTTATTTTCTTTTTATACTAATGAGAGAACGCTTTATCGCTTTGAAATAATTTAAAAGATCATGTAAAGAAAACAAAAAACTAGCTCCAAAAATTTCGCAGATTATTTCTTTTTTTTTTCGTTTATATTTTGTTTGTGTAAGGAGTCTATATGACAAAATACGTTTACTTGAAATGAGGAGCTGTATCATATGATGTGTTTTCTGTTTTTTATTTTGCTGGTTAAATCCATATTTTTACGATAAAGTATTTCTCTTTATGAGACGTTTTAAAAAACTATGAATGAGATCTCATTTAACGAAAAATTTCAAACACTGATTAAATGCAATAAATGGCTCTCCCTAGAATCCGTAGAGCCGACCTCCAAAGAGGGTGGATTCTCCAAAGTAGATAGATTACCACCCGGGGTACTGATCCTTTTGTTTTCTCCAATGCAGAAATGGTTCATGTTTGCATTTTATACCTCCTATTTCAAAAACTGCCGTCCCTAAGGGATCAAACGTAGACAGTGGAGCCGCCTATTCTAGGTCAGACGCTTCTGGATTTACCCCCCGCGCGCTTCCTAACCAATGAAACCCGGCTTAAGCGCCGAGTACTCGCTTTCAGCCACTCTCGTCAGCCTTACTAAATAAGTTTCCCAGGAGACACCCGGCAGATAACTATGTTACCTACCTTCTGGGAAGTGAGAGTCGGATTTGTTGGGCTGATGTTTTCAGAGGGCATTTCCTAGTATTTATAGCTTCACATACAAGTAGCAGTCACATACAAATGAACACATACAAGTAAAAGAAATAGAAACATTTAATTTCACGAATTTCAAACTAAGTTACGCACTCAGACGTTTGAGTAATCTCAATTGTAGAGATTAAAAATCTGCAAAGGGATCATTATTTTTCGGAGTGTCAAAATCGATATTTTATTACAGCTGTCAAGTGTCATCATTTAAATTTTTCAAATTTCAAGTAGATATTTAAAAAAACAATAGACATTTCAAAAAATAATAGAAATTTTAAAAAATAATAAACAATCAAAAATAGTTTAATTAAATTGAACTCGTTTTCCTTTGCTGTAGTTGTTTTAGAAAAAAATCGACAAAAGGAACTTGCAATTGGAGAGAATACTTGTTTGAGAGATGCTAATAATCCTTTTGATTTGGATTTTTTGATTTGTTTTTTTTTTTCTTTCTTCACTCCTAAGAGAAGCATGGGGCTAATGTTTGATATTATCCCTAGTTTCATTTTTTTTCTTTATTTTAAATATTTAAATTTATTAATACTTATTGTACATTTTTCTTTGTTTTTAATATCGAATATTATAAACATATGAAAATTACTTGTATAATATTTATAAGCATTAATTTTTATAAGTAGCTCGAAAACTGATAAATTATAGACAAAAAGAAAAATAAGGAATTTTTAATGCTGGCCCGTATGACTAAATAAAAAACAGTATACTTTCTCAATCAGTTTCAATACAGAAAATGTTTAAAATTTGCAATTTTATTTAATAAAGCGCTTTTGCTGGCGCAATCGATATATATCATTGATTGGTGGTGCAGATATTTGATTCTCCTCATCACTATCATCACCTCCAGGTAGCATACGTCTTCTCTTAATGGAATTACAGTCTCCAGAATACTGACTTTCGTCTATAATCCAATGAACCGACTTAGAAAGATCAAAAAGTTTTGTATCGAAACCATGATCGCCAATTGGTACTGGAGCTAAAAAAATAAATTTAAAATTAAAATTTATAATTAATTCTTATTTATTTTTTAATATTTAAAAATTTAAACAAGAATAATAAAAAAATCTCATGGGATCAGTACGTAATAGGCGGCAATGTATTATTTTCTGAATAATATTATGAAAGTCTTTATAAATTTTGTAAGAGATTTGCATAGGATTGTTTAACTGCCCTTTAAACAATTTTTCCAAATATCAGGTAAACTAGTAATTTTCATTGTTTCAAGCAAAATATTTAGAAACCTTAGGAACAGTTTAATTCCTTTGACAACATTATAAAAAATTTTTGTACATATTTGAACAATGCACTAAAAATTTTTTCCGAACTACTGCAATCGGGTCAACATCGATATAATTCGTATATTTTTCCTCAATTTACTTCTGATTGAAATTATTTTTTAGTTTAAAAAAAACTATTAACGAAACAGCTCCTTTTCGTTTGCTAAATATTTTTTAACCAGCATGTTTGAGGGCATCCGTCTTCGGTAAATCGAAGGACAAATTTTTTAAAGTAATTTTTTTCTAATTATTTAATCGGTTTTCTTTACTATTACACATATATGGGGTATCTTCGGAATTGCATCTAAGTTTATCATATACTTTATGTTTTTTTATATAATTTTTTCAGTTCCAAATAGAAATTTTTAAATTAAAATAAATTAAATAAAAATATTTCCTTATTAAAGTAAGCAATGGAATGAAATAGTACAAAGCTTCAAGACTTTTAAGTTTTTAAATGTAAAATAACAAAGTGTGTTTGAGAAAAAGGACACATTGTATTTAAATTTAAATTTATTTTTTTTTTCGATTTTGACAAAATCGTACAACTTTTATTTGATGATTCCTAACAATCCCAAAATAAATTGAAACAAAACATTTTCTTATAAAAGAAAGCAATGTAATGAAATAATACAAAGCAGCAAGATTTTGAAGTTTTAGTGTAAAAAAATACAATGTGTTTGGAAAAAAAAGGATACATTTCATTAAAATTTAAATTGAAATTTTATATTATGAATTTTACTAATACAACATCATAGTTGCGGAATTAATAAGAATGTGCTTATTACACTAATAATTTAACTTAATGGAAATTACTTCATGCAACTGCAGAACAGATGGATGACGTGATCAAAGGAACGAGTTAAAGGCAGAAAAATTCATAAAAAAATTTTTCTCCTCGAAATTTCTTCATGCAGTTGCATGAAGAAATTTCCATTAAATTAAATTATTAGTGTAATAAGCACATTCTTATTAATTCCGCAACTATGATGTTGTATTAGTAAAATTCATAATATAATTAGTGGAATAGGCACAATCCTATAAATATATATGTTCTTGTTATTGTGTGTTTCAATAGTAGATTGTATGTAGCAATCAATGTAAACAAAACAAATACTTAGTAATCATGTGAATTACAGTAAAAAGCAATGTAGAGAACATTTGGTCGGCAATTTCTTCATGCCTCTGTAACTCAGTTGGTAGAGTGTCCGCCTAGAAAGCGGTAGGGCACTGGTTCGAGTCCAGTTCAAGGAGAAAAATTTTTTAATGAATTTTTCTGCCTTTAACTCGTTCCTTTGATCACGTCATCCATCTGTTCTGCAGTTGCATGAAGAAATTTCCATTAAGTTAAATTGAAATTTTATTTTTTTTTCGACTTTGACAAAACCGTACGACTTTTATTTGATGATTCCGAAGAAACCCATACTCTAAAAAATTACATAATTTAGAACAGCAATACATTGTATGTTGCAGGATCTTAAAAAGTTAGCAAATAAAAAAACTTACTACAAGACTCTTTATCCCTCGTAAAATACCTAAATGTAAAGAAACTCAATAACAAAAAAACCTTTGAAATATTAGGTATTTTCTTCCTTATTAAAAAAATTGATGTTTTAAAAACGTTCACATTAGAATAAAGTAGAGGTGGAGAACTATCGATGACATTATCGATAGTTTTCAACTATCGAAACTATCGATGATTTGAAAGCCGATATAATACTATCGTCATATAAATATCAATTCTTGGCAATTGATAATTTTCAAAAATGGGCAAGAACGGAATGTCGTTTTAAATTTTATGAATTCCATAACATTATTTTCATACGTATACACATTAATTTATTACAGCAGTGAAAATTGAAAATTTTTTCATTTTATATCTATGTTCTTTTATTTCATTCCAAATATTTCTTGAAAATGTGAAGTGAAGTGAAGCTAGCATTGATTTTCATTATATTTATAATTTTCTTGCTTAGAATAAACAAGAGCAAAAACGTGCTACTAGCTTTGTCAAAGTTGAAGTTTAATGCACAGCATGTCATTTAAATAACGAACTTAACTGGGCGTTTGCATAAGCGAGTATGCATGCCAATAGGCATAACGTAAATGTATCAATGTATAAAATAATTTTACCAATATTCCAAAATATCTAAAGTTGCTAGTTTATTGGCAACCGACAAAGAAATTTTTTGGTTAAACATATGGCAAATTCAAAACAACGAACGATTTTTATCGACAAAATGAAGAATTAAAAACTAACAAAGAAAATTTTGTATTAAATAATAAAATATTTAAAGTTAATATTATGTACATTACAATGCCTGTGTTAACTGTTGATAAATCTAATTACAGTTGATATTTTTCAAATAATATTACCTATTTATATACTTGTTTTATTCATTCCATGTTTGGTTATAATCAAATTATCATGTACATACCATTATTGTATGTTTCTATACAACTTAAATCGAGGCACAGCAGCAAGTTGCGTTACGAAAATATCGATATATCGCGATAGTTTTGCGACGATACATCGAAAATATCGATGGTTCAATATATCGATAGTTCTTCAACACTGGAATAAAGTTATTTTTGTGCTCATCATTGAGGAGCTGATTCATTGGGATTACCGTGTTGAAATTATCTGCACAATTATATAATATAAAATTTAATGAAGAGAAGAAAATTATGAATTAGATTAGGTAATAAGCCATTGAGTTGCAAAATATAAAAAATTGATCCATATACTAACAGTAATCAATAAAATGAGAAATAATTTGATATGAACATGAACGTAAATTTTACAAAGTGCTTTCAGTTTTGTTTGTTATATCGTTTTACTCTAACAACTGTATAATATATTTAGTATGAATATATTAACGCTTTGCAAAAGTACGTTCTTGTTGAAGTAAAATACTCGTCAAATGTACGTTATTTTCTGTATAAGTGAAAAACAAAACCAAAGCGGTGAACAACAGCGAGGGACGATTCCCGTTATTAGCCCATAACTATAACGAACCGGCTAAAATCAAGTATCAATATTTTGCATATAAAACCGAGCACTCATAGAAGCAGATGATGTCAAAAAAAAAACGGGCAACGGTAAAACGAAATTTTATACTATTTCAACGCCAACGGAAAACTCCGCGTCGGTAATTTCGGTTCATTGGAGACAGTCCCAATTATACATTAACGTATGCCTTTTATTATAAATGAATATTGCTTAAAAGTTATTGCTTAATATGTACTTACAACGCACATTCAACGGTATGTAGGAAGGTGTTCCGTTGATGTAAAAATTATTAAGTTGTAGAGAAAAGGAATGTTAATATGGTACTGAATATTATCTACCGCTTTGTTTTATTTACTTTATTTGCTTTTTACCTTCTTATTTGCACAATAAGAAGGTTTAAAAATTTTATGCTGACCTATTCTGCAAACGAATCGAATGCTATTTACTGTACACATGAAAGCATGAACATCACATAAAATTTTTTTTTCTATTCCAATTAGCGCAGAATCATATCGACTATTAAAGTTCATAAATAAAAGCAACAATAAAAAAAAGTAACAAAACTATTTCGTGTTTTTGTTTTCTTTTTTCTGCATGTTGTTTTTTTCTTTTTTTTTTTGTGCGTTATTTTATCTGCAAGCGTTGGAGATCTTACTTGGCTAATATTAATAAGATTTTTATTTCGTATATTATTAAAGAAATTATCAATTGAAGGCATTTAATTGCTCCTTTTTAGGCTCTTCTAACCAAAATCTTAAAAATTATTTTTCGCACAATTATACTTGATCTTTAATAATGTCAGAACATGATATCTACATTTTTGACAAAAAAAGTTGTGATTGCAGTATTACTTAAAATTTTAAGCACTTTCTAATGCAAGAAAAAAATTCAATTGTTTCAGTAGATCTAAAAATCCTTGAAGAACATCCTATTTTGGCAGATTTCAAGGTTTTGACTTTTCGAAGATATTTTGTATTAAATATTAGTTAGCACTGATTGTTTAAATTCGAATAATCAATATTTGGATATAAACATGTTTTCAGTAATGTAAACAAGTTTTGTAATAAAAGGAAAATATGCTTAGAGTTTGGTGAATTTATGTGTAAATTTAAAATAATAATTTATATGTAAATTTTTGAATTTATAATTTATTTTGATCTTTTTCATAATTTTACTCAGTACCCTTTTAAATGGGAATGAGGAAGGCCTATATTGATAGATTTTCTATAAATTTTAGGAAATATATTTTTAATAAAATTTATTTTGAATGCAAACTTCCTTCTTTTGGCCATTTTTTTTTAGAAACTCCAAAATTTATTTATATAAAAATATTTTTGGGTATTTTTAGATGTAAATGACATAAAGGGACAGTGGTAATTTTTTTTTCATAAAAACTCTACACTTTTTTAAAAACCATAAAAGGAAAATAAGAGTTTCTCTCTCTGCACGGTAGCCACGACAGTGTTTTAATTTTAAATATTCAATTAAAACGTAAATATTTTTAAATTTCTAAAAATAGTTTTAAAATTTGACTTGAGAAACCTAGTTCTCACCCTCTTTAGAAGTTAAAGCCCCTCAAAGTCTCAAAAATACAATTTTTCAATATGTATTGCATTGAAATCTATCCTTTACTCTCGCAGTAGATTATTCAAATACTACAATAGCAAAATGAGTAATAGATACCTAGTAGCAGGGCAAAATTATAGTAGCTGCTAGACAAGGTTAAATAATTTTTTTAGCTAGAATTATTTTTTCGATCAAACTGCCTTTCAGTGTTCCACTTATTTATATACGAAACTACAAGCTTTCACAAATTTGTATAAAAGCAAAAGGTAAAAGGTTTAAAAATGTCCTGCTATCGAAATAAGTAATTGTCTTAACTTACGAAATTACCTGCTGAATTCGAAAATAATAAAAATGGTTTTTTTCTAATTTTGGTCTTTTCTATAAAAAATATGTATTTTTTTCTTGTTTTTAATTAATACTATAATTTATTAGAAAAGTTATAGAAATATGCATTAATAAAAAATTACTAACATACTCATAAAGCGAGCTTTGGTTGTGATATTAAAAACTGAAAGTGAAAAACGGGATTTTCAATAAATCAGTTGGCTCTTAACATAAAGCACGTTCGATAAACCCAAACTGAAAACGACAATTGTGTTTAAGGTTCTAAATGAATTTTTAACTTTTTTAATAACTATTGCAAAAATATTATAAATTATAAAATCTGTAAAAATGCATATTGTCTAGATTAGTAAAAGTATTCCAGAAAATTATAAAAATGCGTTTTAAACACTTCTTTACAATTTTGAGGACACCAATAGGATTTTAGTTAACTTTCCTAGAAAAATGTGAATTTGGCCCTTAGTAATTTCATTTTATGCCGTCCGAATTCACGAAAAGTTCTTTAGTAACTTCTAGTAACAACCAGAACTCAAATATGAAATTTCAAGAAACTCCATCAACTCGTTCCGTAGATATGATAAAAATGTAAAATCGGCCCCCAGATCAGTTTCCGAGCCCTATCTTTCCAAAAAATTTATAGATTCATTGTTTTAACACCTCGAATTTGAATATTAAATTTCAATGAAATCGGTTAATTATTTCTTTTTATATACGAAAAAATGTATATTCGGCCGTCCAGTTGCTTACACCGGATTTTTTCCAAAAGTTAGATTTCGCATACGGTAGAATGAAGCTTATATATAAAATTTCAAGTAAATCTGTTGGATATTTTCTTCAAAATGATCAAAAATGTAAAACAGGCCCGTTAAAAGATCCCGTTCCCGAGGCCTGATATATCCCAAAAGTTGATCAATCCGTGCCATAGTCGAAATAAACTTACATATAAAATTTCATCAAAATCAGTTCAGCCGAACTTGAGATACAGGTTTGTACACACAGACTGACAGACCGACAGGTTGCTAAAAATAGTTTATTTACACTTCCCTACTATGGAGAAGTGCGTTCCCACCGAAAATTCGATATTCAAAATTAGTTGCCATCACATAACCTACCTATTGTATACACAATACGGTCGGTAATAATAATAACAATAATAATAACAATGATTATAGCATTAGTAATAACAATAATAATAATAAGGAGAAAAAATAGAGTTGACCTTGTCAATTCTGTGATACCCGTACGAATTTGTTATCCTATGTGCGAATAAATATGCCATAACTGAATATGGGCTATGATTTTAAGTTGCGGTATTACCATATTAATTTATGCAAAATTTAAGTACTATAAAATACTGTGTGTGTCAAACTACTATTGAAGTTATATGGTAGCTACCAGAAACAGCCAAGCAATTTCAACGACTTTTATGAGACACATTGGACATACAGCTTTTATAGTTTCTGAAAATTGTATATTTATAGCCAGCTTTTATAGCCAAATAAATTTTGAAGTTGTATGGCAGCTACCCGAACCGGTAGTGCCCCGATCATGTCCAATTTAAATAGGGTTCTGACTTTCTTCAATAAATCATTTGTGAAAATTTAGTGAACTTAGCTCAATTAGTTTTTAAGTTATCGTTGGGGCGGACGGACGGACGGACAGACAAAGCTAAATCCACTCAGAACTTGACGCTGATCAAAAACATACACTTGAGTCTATATCTAAGACCGTTATTTCTTAGTGTTACAAACGGTAAGGCAAATTTAGTATACCCTTCCAATAATGATAACAATAATAATAATAATAATAATAATAATAATAATAATAATAATAATAATAATAATAATAATAATAATAACAAATATAACAATAATGGTAACCATAAGAATAAATAATATCAAAAATAATAACTATAATAATAAAAATAATAACAATAACAATAGTAGCATAATAATAATTATAACAATAAGAATAGCAATAAGAATAGTAATAATAATAATAAGAATAAGAATAAGAATAAGAATAAGAATAAGAATAAGAATAAGAATAAGAATAAGAATAAGAATAAGAATAAGAATAAGAATAAGAATAAGAATAAGAATAAGAATAAGAATAAGAATAAGAATAAGAATAAGAATAAGAATAAGAATAAGAATAAGAATAAGAATAAGAATAAGAATAAGAATAAGAATAAGAATAAGAATAAGAATAAGAATAAGAATAAGAATAAGAATAAGAATAAGAATAAGAATAAGAATAAGAATAAGAATAAGAATAAGAATAAGAATAAGAATAAGAATAAGAATAATAATAATAATAATAACAATAATAAGAACGATTACAGTAACAATGATAACAACAATAATTATAACAATAATAATAACAATAAGAAAAATAATAAGAATAACAATAACAATAGTAGCATAATAATAATTATAACAATAAGAATAGCAATAAGAATAGTAATAATAATAATAATAAGAATAAGAATAAGAATAAGAATAAGAATAAGAATAAGAATAAGAATAAGAATAAGAATAAGAATAAGAATAAGAATAAGAATAAGAATAAGAATAAGAATAAGAATAAGAATAAGAATAAGAATAAGAATAAGAATAAGAATAAGAATAAGAATAAGAATAAGAATAAGAATAAGAATAAGAATAAGAATAAGAATAAGAATAAGAATAAGAATAAGAATAAGAATAAGAATAAGAATAAGAATAAGAATAAGAATAAGAATAAGAATAAGAATAAGAATAAGAATAATAATAATAATAACAATAATAAGAACGATTACAGTAACAATGATAACAACAATAATTATAACAATAATAATAACAATAAGAAAAATAATAAGAATAATAATAACAATAATAATAACAATAATAACAGCAATAATAATAACAATAACAATAATAGTAATAATAATAATAATAATAATAATAATAATAACAATAATAACAACATTAATAATAACAATAATAATAAGAATAATAAGAATAGTAATAGCAATAATAATAACAATAATAACAATAATAATAACAATATTGTTATAATACTATTAATAATAATAATAGTAATAACAATAATCATTACAATAATAATAACAATAAAGTAGATACCCCAAAAATTTGAATTAAATAATGTGAAATATTTCAAACCTTTAATTTTCATTTCAATTCAACGTTCTACAATTAAAATTTTGCAAAAAATACTAAGGTGCATTTTTCTCATTTAAAACAAATTTTCTGAAAAACTAGATTTTACATATTTTAAATAATTATGTTTTTTAAAAATTATATATTTAAAAATGTCTCATTTGGTGAATCTATCAGAAAAAATTCTAATGTTTGAACCCAAAATAGAAACTCTAACGGTACTATTATAGTTTCTACAACTATTTAAAAGAAGCCAAAGGGGAAATAAGTAAAACGTGAAACAAGTTTTTATGTGAGAAAGTAAACTATACTAACTTAATTCTAAAAATGATTAGAAGTATAAAAGAAAAATCAAATTAAAATTATTTGCAATATTACCATCAGGCAATTGAATTCGTGTAAATATATCTGTTAACATATCAACCGCAACAAAAGGTCCTCTAAAACACACAGGCGGAGGTAGACGGGCACATAAAGCTGCAAGAGCTGGTGGCTGAGGAAAAGTACCCCCTTCCAGTGGATGTTCATTTGGATAAGCATTTGATTTTGGTTTGAATGGAATCATTTGCGAAAAGTCTGGTCTAACTAAGCATACTACATTTTCATTGATAGCTTCAAATGTGACGTTGTTTTTATTTGCTGTTGTGAAAACAATATTCTATAAAATGAATATCAAATTAATTCAAAAAATTTTTTTAATAAAATTCTAAATTACATCACTGTAGCCAATTGATTTTAGTTCCATTGTAGTACATGGATAGAGATCCAAAAACTTATAGCGGTCTACCAATTGAGCAGTTTCTTTCCCCTCGTATTCTTTTAACTGAAAAAAATAAATATTTTTAAATTTTCCATTAAAATCTGAATAATGTAATTATTGGTTGCAATGATAATATTTGGTTTATATTGAAATTAACATATTTTTACAAAGTTTTAAGCTTCGAAAAGGCTTACCACAAATTCGTTTGTTCTAATTTGTTAAAATGTTTCAGTTAATCTCAAATTTTTTCAGAACATACTTCAATAGAATGTGCCGCATACGTTTACAAAAAATTGTATGAACCATCAAAAGAAAAATTAGTTCGAGTTAAATTGAACAGAGGAGGGGAGAAATTGCTTAGCAAAGTAGTTGCTTGAAAACTCGCACTTTTATGATTTTGAGGAGCTGTAGCTAGGAGCGGATAGGCGACACGAAAAATTCTCGAGAATAAAAGTCTAAAAAATTTCATCTATTTATTTGGATGATATAGAAAAATGTTAATAATTATTGTTGAGTAACAACAATTATTCTTAATTCTATATTTGTTATTATTATTTTCCCATTTATTTGAATTACCAAAAATGCTAAAATTCTAATTTGTCAAAACTTAATATTAACGCAAATGTATTTGCAAACGTTATAGTTAACATAGTTAATTTTAGTAGGAGTCAAATTAATTTGTTTATTAATTCTAGTTTAAATAAATTTGAAACCAATATGATACGTTAGTTAACAAAGGAAAATTATGAATTTTATAAATACATAAAATTGCTTACTAGTCTATTTCTGTGGGAAATAATTAATTTTAAGTAGTATAATTTTTGTATATTATAAGTCAGATTTTTAATAAATAAATTAATTAACTTCAAACTAAGCAACAAAAAGTTTTCTCAATTAAACTATCTATCTACATATTGCAACTATCTATTCGGGGATAACTAAAAAATACAAAACAGAAGGAGTTAGGAGAAGATATAAAGAAGTTACTGATTAACTTTAAGAAAGATTCAGCTTCAAGAAAGACATCAGCATATCTAGCTGCTAGGCTAGATAAACTCAACAAACTATGGAAACAATTTAACATGAACAACTTAATAATTAAAGAATTTTGGAGTGCAAACACTGATCACGCATATTTCAAAACTGAATACTACAACAAGGTGAAGCAACTCAAGGAGAACCTACAAGACCGACTCACAAGTATGGTACCAGCTGAAAGCGCAAGCCAACCTGAAACAGACGGCGATTTAGAAGAGAACAATAATGACAAAGCTGAGTTAAACGCTCATGATTTAATGAACCTAGAGCAACAGCAGCGTTACAAAAAGCAGCATAACAAAATAAAAATGTTTTACGGTGTAGTCAATAAAGTAGACGAATGCATGCAACAAAAAGACTCTATTACATATACACATATTAGAAAGATATCATTAAAACAAATGATGACAAAATTTTCCATGCCGAAAATGAACAAGAATCAGAATATCAGACATGAGCATTTCGAAAAAGTGGAAGAGAAACGGATATCCTCACAAGAATACACAGAAGGGAGGGAGCATACGCAGAAGCAAATTGAATCTAATGAGTCTATAAAAGCACTACAAATATTGCTTAGTGGAATAATAAAAGGACGATCATACCATCCAATAGCTCAGTAAACAGTCTTTGAATTTGAAGAAACAGTCTTTGAAGACGAAAACTGAATAACGACAGTAAAAACAAAGTAAAGTAATATGGAAAAATAGTTCGCAAAAAGTCACAAACTCGCCGAAAGCTACAAAGAATTTATGCGAGAATATGAGAACCTAAACCATATGAAAAGATATGAAATGGGCAATTAAGATGAGTATGATTCCGCATCATGCAGTTATAAAAAAAGAAAGCATTGGCACGGAACTTCGTGTTATATCTCATGGATCCCGTAAATCGCAAAACAACATAACTATCAGTGATGACAGGGCCTAAACTTCAATAAGATTTAACTTCTTATAACACGATGGAGAAAACAAATATGTTTATACAGCAGACATTAAAAAATGTACCGTCAGATATTAATTAATAGCGAAGACAGGAATATGCAAAAAATTGTCTGGAGATATTTACCAAATGATCCAACTCAAGAGCACACGTTAAACACAGTCACCTACGGAACAGCTGCAGCTCCATATTTAGCAATAAAAACTCTACTAAAACTAAGAACAAAATACTTTTTCAGTGTGAGCAAAAATCTTACAAATGAATATGTATGTAGATGATGTAAAATCAGGTAGCGATTTAGTTGAAAAAGCCGTACAAGGCAAATTACAACTTGTAAATATCCTAAAAAGCGCTGGCTTTAGATTTCGCAAATGGGCAGATAACAACCAACAGCTCGTAGACAACACAATGCCGACAAAGTGCGTCGAAATGAAAATAAACAAACTGAGACATGTAAAATATTAGGAATGAATAGTACCTAAAAGAAGACGAATTTATAATAATAATAAACTTCCGAACAAACCAAAATATATCATGCAAAGGGTTGTATTGTCCGAAATTTCCAGAATTTTCGACCCACTTGGGTGGGTCCAGTTGGTGCACCAGTTGTATTAATCGCAAAACATGATTCTACAAGAAATATGGAACAAAAATGTTGATTGAATGAGCTATTACCGTCACGCGTACATTATGAATATATCAATTTTCAAAACCAATTGCAATTTATAGATCATGTAAAAGTTCAAAGGTGGCTTTTCTACACTTTAACCAAGCCACTTGAACTTCATGGGTTCTGTGACGCTTCAGGAAGAGCAAATGCTGTAAATTCACGACTGCGCCAAGACGGTTGTAAATCAATATTAATCAACGCCAAAACCCAGTTAGCATCGTCTTCACAAAAACTTTCAATTCCGCGACTAGAACTAAAAGAGCAGAACTACAGATGAAATTACTTAATAAGATCTGATGATATAAATGAAACTACTTAATAAGGCCAGATGATTTAGAAATATCAAATAAAGTACTGCATGCATTGACCCAAATAGTACTTTCCTGGCTCCAGGACAACCCAAGCAAGCGAAAAACCTTCGTTGCCAACCACGTTAAAATCATTTAACAATCACCAAGGAAGATTGCTTGAAATTATGTGTATTAATACCACTAAAAATCCCGCTGAGTTGGCGTCAAGATAATTCTGACCGAAACAAATGATTGAAAACAAATTGCGGTGGTCAGGACCAGAATAGCTACATAATGGTACAATAAATGTGACAGGCAAGGTGCTTCAACCAATACAGTTGGAGTTAAAAATTAGTTCCCTTACGTCAACAAGAACACCAATCAAAACCCTTTCCATTGAAAGATTTTCATCACCACCAAGGCTACAAAGAACCATCGCCTTCTTCAATTCAACTGAATTGGAAATTGCACTGTATTATGTTATCAAACTAGAGCACACTGTCTAGCTCAGTGATGTCCAACAGGAATGGTTTCTTGGGCAGAAATTTTTTTTTTACTGGTTCATGTGGGCACATTTAAAAAAAAACAAAAGTATTTAATTCAGTAACTTTATTTAATTTTATTCATAAAATCGAAATCATATTAAAGTTTAATGTGAAGCTTGTTTTTTTAAATTATCTGCTAATTTTTGAATATCAACTGGCAATTTTGTTGACGCACAACGCAGTTGTTTTTTTTTTCATTATTTTTAAAAAATAAAAACTATTATTTTCTTATTTCCTTTTTATTCTAATTTGGCCTATGATTTTAATGTGTGTTTTTTGCTGTTTTTATTCTAAGTTGAAACTTTATGAAGGTAAAAATATTTTGTTCCAGAGGGCCGCAAAAAATCTTCAATTGGGCCGCATGCGGCCCAAGGGCCGCACGTTGGACATGGCTGGTCTAGCTGCTAACACAGTAATTAGCTGCCTAATAAAAAACAAGTTACTGCCTGTTAACAGCAAGATACTAGAGCTTCGCCAATTTTTGAAAGATGATATATTAATAGTGGGAGGTAGACTACGAAGAGAAAATATCGACAATAATTCCAAACATCCTAAGTATTATAATACCAGATTCCAGTCATTTGGCCTTTTTAATAATAGATCACGGGGCAGGGATTTTACCATCTCATGGATCCTGGGAAAATTTTGGATTACTAACGGTAATCTCCACAAAGTTAAAAAGCGAATAGCGGAGCGTGTGGTTTTTTGCAGATATAACACACGCCCAAACACCTAACTTATGGGTGATTTACCAGCAGCCGGAGTAACCATTTCACCACCGTTTAGTCACACGGATGTTGACTTTGCTGGTTGAATACAACTTGAATTGCGCACGTTGCGTTACACCAGCATAACATTTGTGTTTTTGGTTGTTTCGTAATTAAAGCGTTTCATCTTGAAGCCGCATCAGCCCTATCCAGCGACGCCTTTATTGTCACTTCAGAGAGAAATTGGACCATTTTATATCAGAATATTCAATTCAATGGCATTTTATTTTTCCAGGCACTCCCCATTTTGGTCCACTATATGTGAAGCTGTAAAATCGGCAAAACGTCATCACTCAAAAATTATTGGCGACACTAAACTCACATTTGAAGAATTAGGAATGCTTCTAACAAAAGTCAAAATTAATTTTAATTCCCGTCCACTTGCAACATTTACAGGAAACATAAATGATATAGAAGCGTTAACATCATGGCACTTTTCGGTAGGCTCAAAAGTATTCATGTACCTACTTGAACTTGTAGAACAAATGAATCAACAATTATGGAAAAAATAGTCAAATGAATACCTACTTAGACTCCAAGCACGTAAGAAATGACAACAACCAAAATATAATTTAACATGGGATTAATTAGTTCTAATTCGCAAACCTAATCTACTTCCTTCAAGGTGGACTTTAGGGAGAATTTCGGAAGAGATTAAAAATCAAAATCATCTTACAAGAGTATTCACACTTAAGACAAAAAACAGAGAAATTAAACGCATAATTACGTCGCTTATACTTTTACCGGTGAAAACTCCAAATTATGAACTACCTGGAGTAGTATCAAATCATGATACAGCTGAAGTCAATCCAAG